TTTTTTTTTTTTAATATATATATTTCCCTCTTTGGTGGTGTACCAATGATTATATGTGGTTGATGATTGAAAAGTCGAAAAATTAAGAGTGAATGAACCTTTTCGACCCGAACTTTGCAAGAAATTTGACATCTAAACATTGGATTAGACTATCAATTAATATGGCCAGTAACCAGTTAGTCAACTTTTATGTAAAAATAGATCTCTTTTCGGTATTTTATTTAGCTTTCCAGCATCTGCTCTGAAACCTACATAAGATCCTCTTGAAAACTGTTTTTGGCTCGGCTATTAAGTGAACATTATTTTGTAGGTATGTTTGTGGATTGTCTTGTTTGTGGGCTATGTGGCTGTGTATAGCCTGACATTAGTTCACATGATTCAAGAGGGACGTGTTAACCATCTGGATTATGCCATTACCTTCTTCACTGATGCTCCTGCTATTTGTCTTCGTATGATTAATTTGATGGTACGTACTTCTGATCGAGAATTAATACTCCAATTTCTCTTCTTTATTCTTCCTTCCTTCTCCTTGTTTTGACTGTTTATTTTGTTGGTTTGTTTACAATATGTAGTTCCGGGGAGCATGGAGTGGATTACAGGAGATCATGAACTACCTGCGCAGTTGAAGACTTGCTTGAAGACTACGCTGCCAACTTTAATCAAAAGTTACATTCTGACTGATCATGTACATGTTGTTAGTTCTCCAATAGTCCATGTTGGTTGCTTTCCATAATTTGGTACTCTCTAGTAGGCACTAGCCTTTTCTTCTGAAAACTCATACTCTTTTATACTTTGCTTCTGATTACGACATTAAAGTTGCGATCGTTTTGCGATGTGGGAATATAAAATGTGGCTAAAAAAAAAGTAAACAATTAGCAAAATGATATGGTGATATGGCCTCTCTTTTACTTAACTAGCTTGGTGGTCATGGTGTAGATTCTTGGTTCTGTCAACCCATCTGTGTATGTGAAGCAAGTGCAATGTGTGCATGAGGGCCTAGCTTGGCAGCTGTATTTTTTCCTTACGGTTATATAAATCCAATTGGGTGAACAAAAATATCCTTTGAAGAAGAGTTTCTGATTCGTTCTTTCTTATTTTTTTTTTCCCTTTGCATGTAATTCTAAAAGATATTTTAAATTTGAAAAACATATTTAGCTATTCCGGCCTAGTCCGGTATGGAATGAACTTATAATATATCTATATATATTGAAAAAAGTTGACAGTAAATGGAGCTAAAATAAATGAGTCAAACGTTTGACTTAATTCATTTGTGGAAAGCAAAAATAAATGAGTCAAATGTTTGACTTACCTGTTACGAAAAATACAGTTCAAAATTTAAGTTCTTATTAGCTGTATAAATCATGCGTGTTTTGAAAATTTGTACATAATGCTTGCAATTGTTGTACATTCTGTTTAAAATTTTTAATGCCGTTTTTAAGGGACAACATATTATGTTTTTATTATGTTTTTATTTATTGTTGTTCAAAATGAGTATACTCACTTCCACAGTTTACACCTAAGATGTTTTGGACAGTTTTTATAAAATCAGATTCTACATATTCAAATACAGTTTACACCTAAGATGTTTTGGACAGTTTTTATAAAATCAGATACTACGTATTAAATATCTGGATTAATATCTCAATGATAATTATCTTAAAAAAAATAGAAAAACTTATTTTGTTACTGATTTTTAATATCCTATTAAATATATTAGTGATAATCATTTGGAATCCTAATGCATGTATATGGAATTATGGATGCATCTTTTCCTAATAATCTATTTATTTTGTAATCTCAACTTTATAATCAATTATTTTATTATTGATGTAATCTTTAATTTAATTAACATGATATAAAATATAAAATAAGATAAACCATGTGATTAAAATATGGACGTCTAAATAAATGAGATACATCAATCTAATAAAATCCAATACAAAAATATTTTCTCATTCTTTATCACACATCCACATGAAAAAAAATTGCCTAAGCTAATTTCCTAATCTACCACACAAAATCTTATATTTTATTTATTAAATCTATAATTTAAATAAAATTACCTACACACACTAATTAAATCGGATTGTGATATAATAGTTCAAACTTGCACTGATTTGTTAGAATAGGGATGCTTGGATATATTTTTTTTTATTGGATTTTTTAGTTGATACGGTTAATTTTGAAGAAAAAAAAGTGGTATAATTAGTTGATAGAATGATTTTGAGTTTATATTAGAATAATATTTAAAATAAAATAATAAAAGTTGATTTGATATAAAAATAGGAGATGAGTAATGGGAAGTGATGTTTAGATAAAATTATGTGAGTGGATGAATAGTAAATTAAGGTGGATATATTGTGTAACAATGAAATAAAAAAATTCTGAATAAATGGATTTTTTTTATCTACATTTAAATGTATCAATCAAAGGCTAAAAACTTCGATTAGAGAAATAGGATTTTGTCTATTATTCTTAACACACCATAAAAAAGAAAAAGAAAACTACAAGAATTAATATAATCTCGTTACCTTGACTTAATCATGTGTGATGGGTCTCCTCCTAGATCTGGAGTGAATCGGTGGAATGAGCTTCGGTCTGTTTGAATCGCCTCCAAATCGTCCGTGAGCCGCCGTGAACACCTACAAGAACTCAACACCGATGAGCTCTGCTCAGTAGGAGCAACAACTGAAGAATGAATGGAGAGAATAGAAGTTAGGGTTTGGAGTCACCTCTACTCCTTTATATAAGGGTAGAAATGTTTACTGGAACTGAAATGCCCTGGCCGACTTACATGAAGTGTCCAAAATGTCCTGGTCGGTTCGCATTCTGCCCACTCTCTGAGTCAGCACCTAGATCCCTTCTTATCTCATACAGATTCTCTAGCTCAGGAGGCCTTGCTACGATATCGAGGTAAATGTGAGTCGTCAAAGGTCCTCTAAGTCGATTCGAAGCCTCGTCGAGTCGACCTATGGTCACGTTTGTATATCCGAGGCTCTCTGAATGCTTATTCGCCTTCTAACGCGTAAGTCGACTTATGCGAAGTCGACTTCCTGAAGTCGTCTTTGGATCGTCCCTAGACCGGTGGTGATCCTCATATGGCCGATAGGCCATGTCGACTTTGGAGATATCGTCTTGACGATATCCTTGGTAGCGTCTGTCGAATCGAGTAATTAACGCCTGAACCGGGTTATGATAATAGGGCTATATCAGTGTGCATTATGAGCATAGGATTAGATTCACGGCTGCCATCATAAACTCACCACAAACTTTCAAAGATTTTGAAATTTTTACTTTGAAAGCAGCATACCATTTGAGTAAATGAGTGGTAAAGAGTGGAAAAGTATACATAGGGAGAGAGACAAAAGGAAAAATAAAATAACCTATTTTTAATTTACTATTTTCAGTTTTCAACTTTTCATTCACAATCTCATTTTTTTTCTGCTTATGGACTAAACACTTATTAAACCCTTTTGCCTTTACTGGATCAACAGCTGTACTGAGACAATAATAAAAGAATTGGGTGAGTGTAAAAGCCAGAAATTTAAACCAATATTGTTCCTTTTCTGCTTGTCCCTTTTCCTTT